GATAAAGATAAAAAGTAGAGATTTTACATAACATTTTTAGGAAATCGACAAAGAATATTATGAGACAATGAAACGTAAAATCAGTACAACACAGGGTTAATAAATTAGGCTAAATTGGCCTAATTTATTAAATCTGTGTGATTTTTTTTGCGTTTTATTGTTTAATTGAAGATGACCACATTTAAGAGGTTCTATTCCCTTCTTCGTTTAAATAATATTATATTTGAGCAAACAATATGGTTAATAAAAATTCACTGTTGGGTTCTAATTAACAGTGGTATTCCTAAAGTGGAGCTGAGAAACAGTATCAAAGCCTACACATAACACGAGGGTAATAACGTAAATAGTTCACGTCTAAATTAAATTAAAAACAAAAATTTAAATTTCATTGATTTATGTCCCAAACAGTGAACGTAAACGGAACGATTTGACAAATAGGACCGTCAAAGATTCAATAAGGAGTTCAGGAGTTTATCTTAATAGAAGATTGTGGTCAATTCTATCGATTACCTACTTTGGAGAAGTCTGTGTAAATAACATCGACTTGACTTCTCCTATTCAAAACTTCAGTAACACACTAAGTTATACAGATTAGATTAGTTACAGTAGAGGGACCAGTAATAAAGCCATAATAGATCGGAGTAATGATTTGTCTAAATTGAAATTAGACTGTATTCCAATGGCTAGTGTACAATATATTTTTAGATATAATAGCTTTATTTTAGATATTAGATTTAAAAAAAGTATTTAAATAAAATTAGTAGGTACCTATCTACAATAAAAAAAATAAAAAAAATTTTAAAAAATTTATTGGCCTTTTAACTTTTTTGTTAGCATTAAATTTGTTTATATTTACTAATTTACATAATTTGTTTGTAAGTTATGTTGTTTTTATAAAGATAATGTTTGTGACTAGTTATCAATAAATATTACAGTTAGTACATACAGTGAGCACCATAAGTCTTACCCCCCCTATCTAACTCATTACTGGAGTCTTGTTAGGAAAATCTCCGAGACAGGTCGATTTTTGATTTCTACAATGTACATTTTTGTATGAATAGTTTACATTTAATTTCATCCCTTACTGAAGGGGAGCAACCCTTTCGAAAAATTTAAATAGCATGGGGTGGTGAGTGATAGCTCATTTGAAAGAGGGTTTTATTCTCTATTCAACCGTGTAAAAAATTTTGAAATTTGCTTCATTAATTCTCGACTAATTGTTGTTTCAGAATAACGGAAATTAACGTAGCGCACTCATCCTTAGAATTAAAATTCGGCCCTGCATGATTTCGGTTTTGATTCAGACGTGAAGTAAGACTTTTTGCCATTAGAAGGTCACTGTTAGTTTAGTTGCTTTCCTATTTTGTGAGGTTTTGTTATTTTTAAACATTAATAAATCAACACGTAATGAAGCAAATTTAAATTTTTTTTGCACGGTTGAATAGAGAATAAAACCCCCTTTCAAATGAGCTATCACTCACCACCCCATGCCATTTAAATTTTTCGAAAGGGTTGCTCCCTTCCAGTAAGGGATGAAATTAAGGGTAAAATAATCATACAAAAATATACATTGTAGAAATCAAAAATCGACCTGTCTCGGCAATTTTCCTAACAAGACTCCATACATTTCACTTACATTAGGAGCTTTTAAAAGGCCTGAATTCATTTCTCTGCTTTGTAAAATATCTCTTTTTACACCCGGGAACGAAGCAATGGTAAATATTGGAAAGACGTTATTTTCTTAAAAATACAATTTTTTTTACAACGCTTACATTTTAGGCTTCATAAATTAACATTTTCTTATTTTTTAAGGACTTATAAGCAACATTTATGTGTCCTTATTCTTAGAAATATATTTGTCATGCACTCATTACAAATGCGCGGTGTTGTCAAGTGTCCAATTAAAATCAACAAAAAAGAAATAAAAAAAAGTACCTTATATTTGACATAACATTTTTAAACAGTTTCATTTATTTATTTTCAGTCAAATCAATTAAAATAATTTGAAAAAATATGTTTTTCATTATTTTCGACCAATATTTAAGGTATATACGAAACTTCATAATATTCTGGCTTCTCTTAATTTTTGAAATTTAACAAAGGAGATGGTATGGATTTTTTGTCGATTTGGGTTGTTTTTGGAGATTTTTCGTGGATCTGTTACTAGGTTAAATCAATTAGTATAATTTTTAAATACGTATTATTTTCGACCAATATTTATATATACAATTTTTCAAAATATTCTGGGTCTTCTTAATTTTTGAAATTTAACAAAGGAGGGGGTATGGACAACATGAACCAACAGATACGTGGTTACGTTCAAAAAGGTAAATATATAACCAAAATGGAAAATCAAATCTCATCAGAACTATCATCATCACTTGACGTGTCATTCAGGTTTATAATGCAAGAAGAGCCGGAAATATGCTAAGGTTATTTTCAATTTTGGTAACATGGAGAACGCAATTGGAGCACAATTCTTGAAATATAACTCCAACAACTTCTCTGATAACATCTAAAATGCTTTCAGACAACGCAGGATTCATTTTTTTTTCTGACCTCCCTTTTGATGTTACTCCAAATTGATTCTATCGCATTTAATGTACAATAAGATGGTGGTAAACGTATTACGGTATGAACGAATTCCGTAGCCATCTCACTTACAACATAGGTTCGAGATTTAAGCCTTTTATTATTGCAAGCAAATCTTTTTCCGCCTACCTCTATCCAAAGTATACATTTCCTGACCTCATTGCAGGGAGCAAAGTCATACTTTTCCTCCCTAGAGAGGAAAGTACTTTTACTCCCTAGGGAGGAAAAGTAAAAGTGACGTCATGGTATGTCATAAATGAAATAGCTTATACGGCATTGAGGACCTAAACTATATTCTATTATATAAGTATGAATTTTACCGTTTATTTATAGAACACCCTGTATTTTGCAAAATAGTAAAAATCAGTAAATTGTTATTTTAATTTCGGGAACAAATTAAAACCAATTTGATTTTATAAACATTCGCATTTGGCGATACCAATGACATATATCTGTGGCTTGGTACAAGACGTGCCTAAGTCAAAAATGATAACTCAGTATGAGCAGTTTTGTGTTGTTCGAAATTTTTATTGTTTTATACCTGTTTTGTTTTACTTTGCTTTGAGGAAAATTATATTTTTTTCAGGAGATTATTGTTGACCTAGGAGCTTGGTACTTAAAAAATTAAATATTATAAGTCATTGACCTAATATTTTATTGACACAGTTACTTCTTGACATTAAAATATGTTAACAAATTGTGGACCTAGACAATAAAATACGTGAGATATACCGAAATAATAATTTTATTTTAAGCAATAAAACTCATTAGTAGGTATAACTATAACAAAATTTTTGTTTTACAAAGTAGCATTCTAAAAACATCTTAATCTTCATCATAGTTTTCATAAAGACGCTTATCGGGTAGATACTCGTCTTCAACCGATACAGTAGGTCCTGAAAATAGAGTTTCGTAAAAAGTTCGGCTTGTTTGAGAGATGAAAGGCATTAGGTCCTTAAGGTCTTTAATTTTTTTCTCTGGTAGTGGTATTAGATTTTCATTTTTTGGGGTTAGTTTTTCTTAATCTTGATTTTTTTAGGTAGACGATCCAGCTGAACGCGTACCATATGACTTATGGGTATTCCGAGACAAATCTAGTACCTTAAACAGCTCTGTAGGGGTATAAGAAGTTTTGTAATAAACTTTTGACAGTGAATCGGTACGATACTGTAACCATTTTATTTCTAACCAATTAACAGGTTCTTGTTCAGTATTAATCTTACAATGAACGTACTGATGGTTCAAAACTCTTTTAAAATTAAAAAAATCTGTCTGTTGCATTTCTATAACCTGTATTGGGGGATTTCTTGGAACCATTCTAATGAGGTTTGCCCAATCTCTGGGTATCTCAATTTTGGCAGTAGTATGTTTTTTAACTTTTTCAATGGCCCCATGTATAGTGTCCGCCTCTTGGTGCGTATGTCCTGGTTCTAGAAATTTGTGGTTGATGACAAGCGTCCTTCCGTTTCTATTAAAATCGTGTACCAAAACTGATAACATGGTGGTAACATAAATGTTTCTTGTTTGCCCACTACAACAGTCACTGAACATATTGATTTCAGAAATATCTGGTGGTAAAGAAAGGATATAATGTCTGAGACATGATGCTATTTCTTCACCACCTCTACCACCTATAGATTCATCCCAAATGTAACAAATAGTTTGTTTTTTTTTTGTACAACTCTAGATGGTCAGGTTATACGTCCATAATGATCGTTTGTAAAATGACACATTATTTTGCAGCATTGGCGTAGCCAAACATTTTTCTAAATCAAACGAAAAAAATGTTACATTTTCATTCTGAAGACTACGTTTTTTATCTTCTCTTTTTTCTTTGTATGCCTGATCAGCCATAGTTAAATGTTCTTTATAATTTTTTTCATGGTCTCCCTTTTCTTGCAAATCCGTTGTTGTTTCAAGTAACATCTTGTACTTATCACATTTGGCACACGTATCATTGGAAGGAACGTGAAAGGACAAGTTGTAATGTTCAACAAATATTTTTCTGTACATTGATTCAAGTGGTGGTAGTACATTTTGCGAAATACAATGTTCTTTGTACAACCGATACATTTTTGAAATGTCCAAATGTTCTGACAAGTATTTTTTGTCGGTGTGTAATTTTGAGTAATGACTGACATATGAAGCGAAACTATTTATATGATCTTTTATTGTATTAATTGCATCTTCATTAATTTTTTTTTTGCTTACCATGTTTTCCTCGACCATCATTAGGACAAATTCCACTTAAAGATGCTCTTTTCTTAGCTGCTAAAACTTTTATTTTTCCTGCTTTAATATCTAGTGTATTCAGAAACATAGTACGACAAACTTTTATTTTAGTGTTTGTCTCATCATACAAGAAATAAAAAAGAGAAAATTGTCATCTGCTAGGTCTTTGCCGTTGCCTACGTCTTTCCACTTGTTTCTCCACAAAGCTTTCTTTGTGAAATGAATTGATTTTGCGAGTTAGCATCTAGCAAGTACAACTCCTGAAAAATTTTTAATCTTCTATTCTCAAAAATCTTTTCATTACATTTTAGTCTACACGTACAAGCAGGCTTCAGGCATCGTCCACTAACAACAAACTGTTTTTTCGTTGATATGTATGGTTTTCCATGAACCCTGGCTTCTCTTCTCTTATTTCTTGACCAACTTTCTTGATTTCTCTTTCGTTTTCTTGTTTTATCTGTCTCTTCTACTTTACACCTTCCTCTGTCTTTTTTCTTACTAGAAGTATCATTCAGAACAGGAGGATCAGCCAACATGTCGTCCTCACCATCGTCATTTTCCATTTCTTCATTCTCAGAAGACTCCTTATCATCTGATGGAAGATAGTCAGCATCTGCATCATCGGAAGAGCCAATCTCATCATATTGTCGTTATCGGTTGATGACATTGAAGTAGGCACTGATGTTTTAGTAGAGAGTTTAGTCTAGTTGAGATTTTGTTGCCATTGTCATTGCTCAGTCGAATATTTTGTTGAATTGTTTATTATACTAATGTTCCGTTTTAAAATTTTTTTAATTATTTAAATATAAAAATTTGTTTTGTTTTTGAATTTAAATGGTTAATTGCTCTTTAAAGGGTTGTAAAACCAGCTACAGAATATAAAAAGTAACATTTCATTTTTCACGGATTTATATTAAATGATATTATTCTATACATTTATTTCTTGAATCTAACCAATCAAATTTCGTAAATAAGATTTTTTAATGTAGTCATAAGCGGCTCGTTTACGTGGTTTGGTTAAGTAATAAAGAATGTGCTGAAATGCATTTAGTGTTTGGTGAAATGCAATGTAACGCTCGTAAGTATGCCAAGAAATTTTCAAAAACATTCACAGTTCTTCATCAAAGACTTAGGGAAACAGGATCTGTAATTCCCAGTTAACAACGAAACTGGTAGACATGCTGAAGTATTCAAGGAATATGAGAATGGTATTTTAATGAAATTCGGGGAAAACCCTTAAATTAGCATAAGAAGATTAGCTGCAATGTATCCTAATATTTCTAAAACTTGTACCCATTTAATTTTAGGTGTGGCCTTTTCTATTTGGTTACGAATGGAAGAAAATCAAAATCATCACTTCTTTTTAAACATTTTGTTTTCTAATGAAGCTATTTTTACAAGAGATGTAATTTTTAATATGCATAATGCACATTACTATCCTTATGTTGGTGATAATCCTCATGTTATAAAAGAAACTAAACATCAGGAAAGATTTAGCATCAATGTATGGATAAGTGTCCTTGGTGACAATCTGCTTGAGCCTGTAGAATTGCCCAATCGTTGAAATGGTGAGAAGTATCTCGACTTTTTACAAAATACTTTACCAGATTTATTGGATGACATTAATTTAAATATTCGACAGAACTTGTGGTATTTACATGATGGTTGTCCAGCTTACTTAAGGAGTAATGTACGTAAGTTTTTAGACAATAATTACCGAGACCGATGGATAGGAAGAGGCGGTCACGATGCTTGGTCAACGAGGTCTCCGGATTTAAATCCATGCAATTTTTGTGTATGGGGATATCTCAAATCAATGGTTTATTCGCAACCAATTAAATCACTGAATCACCGTTGGAGACGAATTCAGAATGCTTGCAACAAATTTAGAAATAATATGGGAATTTTGGCAAGAATTCGGCGATCTTTAAGCAAATGATTAAATTTGTGCACAGAACCAGATTACTATCATGTGAAGCATCTGCTTTAGATTTAATTTTGTGTTTAAAACCTTCAGTTATCATTTCGTTATTATTATTTTTTTTAAACAAATTGTATCAACAGAAAACTTTAATTTTTACATGATTTATTTTTTTACTTTAGAAAAGCACAGTCATTTATTAATTCAAGAGAGGCTAAAATGGTGGTTCCACCTTATCGAGACTGACGCCCACAAGGGTAAACTCGTAGCGTAACAAAAACGAGAATTGATTTAACTTGGAACGAAAGATCGGAAGCCGATAGTAGTATTAGGACGTTGAATTTTTTGGTTTGTGAAGCATTGGCATTACTTAGGTTAAACCATGTGATGACTTTCACAAGCCTTGATTTTTAAAACCATTCTATATCGCCTTTTGATTAGGGTTTAAACACTTGTTCGAGGAATTTATCCAATAATAACTTAGCAACTTATAGCCCACAAAACTATTTTTTGTGTTAAAGTAGATCCATAGAGAGTAATGTAATTTATAAAGGCCTTCTTTAAACATACAAATAAATGCAACTTTATAATTATTAAAATAGAAAACACAACAAAATACCTCTGTATCATAATTGATCAAAATTTGAAATTACGTCATTAAAATCCCAAGGTAAGAAGATTCATTTTTAAATTTTATGAATTGAGAAAATTTATGACTAGGAGTTTACTAATTATTTACAATTCGCTGGTTGAATATGTAATCCAAACTCGTATAATTAAAATTATCAACAAAAACCAGTATTATATCCTACCTCTCTTTTATATAATAAAAAAAGTGCTTTGTATAAGAACATTATATTATCTGTCTTGCTGTACCTTTATTTATGGAAAGCCTGAATTGAGATACATTACAAATTATTTGCAATAAATATCAGAAGAAGCATACATTTTTAAATAAGTTTACATTTAAGGGCCATTCACACATCACAGTTGACATCTTGATACTTGACAGGCACAGCCAAGCATTATTCTGATTTTTGCCCAATAAAATGGCCGATTAATTATTTTATGGGGTTGCGACAGAAAGTCAGTAAATTTGATGAAGGTGTTTTTTGTAGCTAGGGGCGAAATAGTAGTACGCTTAAGTTAGCACCACCAAAAAAAAAGTAATTTTTAAAAAACTGCTTATATATTTTTCATAAATAGCCTCCAAAATAGCTATAGTTGCAAATATGAAGATCGCAACGCGCCTTAGAAATATCACCTTTACTATCAACAGCTGTTGTTTGACGGGTCGTTAGAGAATGTTTGCAATATAGTGGTGCTAACTTAAGCATACTACTATTTGGCCCCTAGCCACAAAAACACCTTCATCAAATTTACTGGCTCTCTGTTGCAACCCGATAGAATAATTAACCGGCCATTTTATTTGGCAAAAATCAAAATAATGCTTGGCTGTGCCTGTCAAGTATCAAGTTGTCAACTGTGATGTGTGAATGGCTCTTAAATGTCAAATTATTTAGTCATTTTTAAGAAACCTTTTATATATTTTAATAAATTGGTAGGCTTGGCGACTAATTTCTAATAAAAATAGCCTCCAAAATGGCTATGGTTGCAAGTATGAAGGTCGCAACCCGCCTTAGAAATTTTACCTTTACTATCAACAGCTGTTCTTTGACAGCTCGTTAGAGAATGTTTGCAATTTATGGAATTTTAAGAATTTTAGGAATGTAGAAATAATTGGAATTCCTAAAATTGTCACACTGTTACGTTGTAATCGTCACTCCCTTTTAATAATTACAATATTTAATTAGTTCAAATATTCCAATATATTCTAATACTTTTTGAGCGCCCCTCGTATTTGGAAATATAGATATTATGTTGAAACGGGAATTTGTCTCTGTCTAAGACATTCGATAGCTCAACCAATGATGCGCTCTCTCTCTCTCTAAAAATCAATAATTACGGTCAGATGTTGTGCGCGCGCTTGGCTTACTTATGGATGGGGAATATTCACGTTTTCACACATTCGGTCAGCTGTTGGCTTTTGAAATTTCTTTTTCAATTTGGCTGCGAAATAAACCGGTTGGGTTTAGTGTTGTTAATTGTGTCCGAACAACTAAGGTAATCTCGAATTTTTTTTATATAATGAAAAGTAGAAATTAATTTTATTGTGTGCATATTCTGCTGAAATTATCTTTGAGTTATCTCTTTTATTAATAGTGAGCTTTTCGCGTAATATAAATTCCAAAATGTACAAAATGGCTGCCATTAATTTTATATTTTTTCTTCTCAGTTATTTAAAAAAATCTTTCCATTCTTCATGTGTTTTAAATTAAATACTATTGTAAATCTCTAATATTGTTGTAAATTTGAAATGTTTAATTTAAAAATGTTTAATTTAAATTGTAAGTTTTTTTGGCTGACCATATGTGTTGTTTTTTTTTTTTTGAAGCAATGGAAAGATACGGGTTTTTTTGTTGTAACTGACACGTTTTTTCTTTCTTAAAAATAAGGAACTGGCTCTGGATCTGTAACAAACTAAGGAATTGTCCTTTGTAATCTGGAACTGCAGAATCATTGTCAGCTAGTTGCCACTAGAGCTGCGGAATATCTTGGGCTGAGTTGCGTAAGGAACTGCAGTGTTTTGAAGTCATCGTAGGCTCACCGCTCACCTACCATTAAGACACGGACCAGACCAGTTCGACCGTTAAATCCGGAAACACAAGAAAGTGTCGGCCAGGACCACACACACAATTTTGAGTCACTAGTCAATTTTAATTTTAAACTCATCATTAGTAAAACGTAAACCGTAAAATGTGTTAAAATCAATTAATTTTATTTTCTTTTATATTATGTAATCAGTCATCAGTCAAATTCGAAATTTAAATTAAAGCCGATTAATTGTTTTGAAATTTTAGTTTTTTTTTCTTACTTTCAACTGACAAGTTAATGACAAATTTACTTTTATTGTCCATCTAAAGGTATGGCGCCCAAATTAATTTAATTGAATTCTTTTAAATCTTTTTAATTAAAGACTTTGTCATTGACTTGAAGGTAAATTCTAAACGAATCCCATTGACCTATTTTGATCTGAGCTAGGCCTGAGGCTTGTAAGAATTCTTATTATAAGGATTTTTACAATGAGACCCAGGTAAGGGTTAGAAACGTATCATCTGGTGCAAAATATGTTTTTATAAAACGTTTATTAGTAAAACGTAACATTTTTTATAAAACATTTAACTTTATATATTTTGAAACGTAACAACACAAGAAATGCATAGACGGATTTTAAGAAAATTGATATTAAAGTAGTTAGGATGAACCGAAAATTCTGAAAATCAATAGGGTTCTAAATTAGAAGGAATTATTTAAGAAAATCAAAACCGCAAGTCAATCAGATCTGTCGTTCTAGAGTTATCGTGTCGGTATACATACACACAGACGACCAGACGAATTTTATTTTTGCATTTTCGGACTCAGAATGATCGGAAACAAGAAAATAAGTTGTAAAAAATGGGGGTAAGAAAATTGTTTCATCTGCACGAATGCAATACTGAGGCCCCATAGGAAGGGTTTCAGTAAAAATATTTTTTTGAGTACCTACCTAAAGTTTGGGTAAAAAACTTTAATATGTATTTA